ATAACAAATTAAAACAAGTCTATCAGTAGCACCAAACATGTTACATTTTTTCATAAAAAAAAAATACTATTTATAATAACAACAACATTTTTCTTTTCTTTGATAATAAGACTTCTTCTTTGTTTTTTAATTTTAAAAATAACAAATGGGCCATAAAGAACTTAATGGGCTTAGATAATTTGATAAGCACCCCCTTTTACTAACAGTAAATAACACATAAATGGGCTTAGTTATTCAGAAATTACGCCCCTTTTTCTGCTGTTTGGATAATAAAATAGAATGGGCTGACTAAATAAATTGCAACCACACCTCTTTTTTTACTAACAACCAAATAACACCTAAATGTCTTTAATAAATTATTAATTAAAAGCACTTTAAACTAAGTTATCTTAATAGTTTAATAACTTAGTAGTTACTAGTTTTTAAAATAATTTCCCATTTTCGAATCGCATGGGCCATTGGCGAACATGTCACGCGAATGGGTTCACGGATACACGAGTCTCTCTGATTTAGAAAGCCCTGCTTTCCTGAATTTAAGGTACACCCCTCAGTTGACTTCAATTTTTAAGAATGGGCCATCAGATATTGCCGTACCATCCTTAATTGAATATTTCTTCAATTTTAATCTCGAAAAATAAAATCATCGAGGTAGAAAACATTTGGGGTATGACAAAAAGCATCATTTGGCTTCAATTTTAAAAGGTAAAATATAGACATTATAGCCCTGAAACTAACCATGTACTTAGAATTCATTTATATTGCATGAGTGATGTGAATTTTGAGTTTGAACTTCCTGAAAAAACTAGGTCAGATTTGGTACCAAGCAAAATTCGTGTTCATCTTTAATCCATAGCTTAATATTTAAATATTTGAAATCATGGTGAAATTTCTAACAAGTTTGATATTTACAATTTCTTAAATGGTTGAGAAATGAGCAAGATACGAAATTCAAATTTGTTGTTCTGGTCATGGTGCGAGGAAGAAGATGAAGTGCACAGTCAGTAGCACATTTATAATATAATGTGATGGTTTTGTATAAATCAACGGATGTACCATCACTCCAGTGGTTAAAGCGCGCGCCTATGACCTTTGTGACCTGGGTTCGAGCCTCAGCGCCATATTTTGTTATTTTTCCTAACATTTTCCTTGTTTCATTTTCTGGCAGCGCGCCTGGGCCTCTCTGTGTTTGGGACTTTGTTTTTTTTTATGAACATCACCCCCTGTTTCCTAATAGCAGCGCAGGCCCAAACATCTTCATTTTATTTTATTTTATTTTCTGATTTCAAACAAACAGACCTTGGGCCTCAACCAAAAACGTTTTTTCTTTCAAACCTCCCTGTTTTCTTTTCAAACTCTCTGACCCAATTTTTATATTTTATTTTATTTTATTTATTTTCTTTAAATATTTATTTTTAATCAAAATCCCAAAAATACATTTTTTCTTAAATAATTATATTTTCCCATTGTATTTTATTTATATCATATAGGCAAAAAATAATAAAAATATTTTCTTAAACCATTTAATTTATTTTCTTAATTAAACTAATTTAGACTTAGTTTTTTATTTTAATTTTCTCTTTTATTTAAATTAATCTAGTCTTTAGGTTTTATTTAAACTCCTTGTAATTAATTAGTTTAATTAGGTCAATTAAAACCCCTTCCATAAAAAACATATAAAAACAATTTTCTTTTCTCTTTTCATTATCTTTACATTTTTTCTACATTCTATTATTTCACATTATAATTTATGTAACTGTCAAAGCCTTGTAATAGTAATTAGGGTTTATATTACTTGTCATGCCCATTTGTAAATTTGTATCCACATCCCCTCAAGATTGTAATAGCGTAGGACATTTAATTTCCGCAATTTATCGCTTTCCATATTATTGCTAGTAATTAGGGTTTGTATGACAAGACTTAAAATCAATACTAGACAACCCTAATTCAAGACAAATTAAATGAAAACAATACACTTTGCACACATGCACCTCTAGGATTAACCCACACTTGTTGCCTTAGGTTAAAATAACCATGTCCTTCGAACATGGGATGCTTTAGCAAAGACCCTCAATTACAAGATCGTAGTCCCTCGATGACCCTTCAATGTTGCCTTCGGTAAACAATCTGAGTCCCTTACGACAAATTGCTAAGGTATCCTATAACGTTGCCTTCTATGACTGTACGATGACCCACACCTGTTCCTTCACATCTAATGATATGATTTTTTACTAACTAATGGTAAGATAACACTATCTAAAAGAGGGGGGAAAGAACAAAGACTTTCTTTTGAGTAGGTAGAACGCTTGTAGTTACTTGCTCACAAACATTTCAAAACAACCATCTTTCAAACACACCAACACTTTCATGAAATATTTTCAAAAGTCAATACTTTGTATGCATTCTTTTAGAGATGAGAATCATTAAAAAGTTTGCCTAAACGAAGACACTTTTAAAAAATACTTTCAAACAAACACAAACACATTTTGCAAAGCATTTCAAAGTGAGATAGCAATTAAGAGCCCGTAGATAACTACAGATGAAAAGGGTGCTCACATCTCCCCTTTTCATAACCTAGCCCCCGAACTCAAGAAAATTCTCAAAAAGGTATTTCTTATTCTTTTCACCCATTCCTTTATTGGATAAAAGAAAAGTCGGTGGCGACTCTTGCTATCCGCAACATTTGTGATAAAACGCAAAACATCCAAGTCAGTTCTCCCACCATATTACACCTACACCAAAACTTTTACATAAATTCAACTCAAAACCTAAACTAGAGATTTTATACTTGTTCGAATCAAAATCTAAACCATAGCTTTTACACAAGTTCAACTCAAAATATACACCCAAACTTTTCACATGTTAACCTTGTAACCTTCAAAACTATTACAAAAAAAATAACAAGGATATTATACCCTTGAATAAACACTATGAACACAACACTAGTACAACAAACTCGCAGAAAAACTTTGCACTCTCTTGTCACTAAGGAAACTTGAGTGAAAAGGACTCTAAAAGAATGATAGAAGAGATGTAGTAGAAATGTTTCTATTCAAAAAATAAATGTATTTTAAAATGAGAAAATTTTCTTTATATACGAAAAATTTGGCTAGAAAAAGAAACATGAGCTATTTTAATGAGTTAATAGATTAAATTTATTTATTAGTCCATTAACCAAGATAAAATATAACATATTCGAATTCTATGTTACTTAATCCATTACTAGCCTACTTAATCGATTATGAGGCGCTATGTTGATTGAATCAACTAGAAGAACATATTAACTAATTAACTAATGTATTTTTACCTTCTTAATTGTTTAATTAAGCTTCTAATTTATTAACCACTTGCCATGATTGGTTTTAATAGGTTTTATTAAAAGAGAAGATATTTGAACATTTTTGTGTCTGTGAGTATTCCCTTATTAATTCAAGACTTACTCTTGTTTCTTTTACAATTAACCTGATCAGAACTAGAAAAAACCCTAAGCGCATGATCAGACGAGCTTTCACACTTTATCCTCTTTAAGATCACAACTTTAAAATTACAAGATTACATCTTCATAGCTTCAAGTTCCCTTTCTTGATTTTAATTTCTCTAGTACTTACAACTGAAACTTGATACATTTGACTAATGAGGCTTATGATATAATTTGTTATTCAGGTGTCATCGTCATGAATCTTTGGAAGAGTTGTCGTGATCAATTCCATTTGACCGTTGTCATCACTACCTCCATTTGATAGTTGTCATCAATATATCCATTTTATTGTTGTTACCAACATTGGACATTGGTCATCATCAAACCAAAATACCTACGTTGCACATATAACCACATTCTTCCCTTTTTTTATGATGACAACACATTTCTTTGAAACTTCCATGCCAGCTGGATCATAACTCAAGATTCCATTGTTGTCTCAATTTTATATACTTTAGAGAGTTCCTCCCCATCATTAAACAAGAAAAATATGATCGTTCTCTTTCTAATTTGGTTCCAGCATGACACGTGATTTTCGTGACCAATCCCTCATAGGATAACCCTGCGACAGTCCTTCTTTTGAATTCTACCACATGTTGCATCACCCCATCCTCCTAGTTGGTTTTAAACATTTGGATCGCATCCAAGTGATCACAAAATCATTTCTAGAAAAGTCATTATGGTTGGTTTTCCATGGGAAAAGAACATGCGATATCAAATGGTGTATGAAACTAAAAGATGCTTTCATATACTTTGTATCAATTTGAAACTTATGACCTTCCTGTGAATTAGTGAGTAAGGATTCAGCAGCGGGGAAGAGATCAAAACTTCCAACACCAGTTGGAGCATCAAATGAGTAGTGCTTGTCAATAACATCAGGGATTCAGGGATAATGTGATTGGTGGATTGAACCCTGATCTAAATACCATGCTGGATCATAAATTGTGTCATAAACAACCATTAAAGGTGACATGAATGAGGAGTCTTGAAGAAATTATTCATTTGAGAATGTAGGTTTGTTAAAATTGGAGGAGGGTTGATAATGTTTTTCAAACATGTACAAATAATCAAGTGTTGTGTAACCTGGTTTGTCACAAACTTGGCATTGAGATTTATAACAATTTCCATATCTACCATAGTTTCCTTATCCTCTATTTATTTATCCTCTAAAATTTGAACTGTTGCCTCTATTGAAGTAATTCCTCTATTTATTTATCCTCTAAAATTTAAACTGTTGCCTCTATTGAAGTAATTTCCCCCTCTAAATTGAGTGTATTGGGCATAGTTGACTAGAGATGGCAGACATATTCAAATCCGTGGGGCCCACCCGCACCCGAACCCGAGTTAACGGGTGAAAACCTGAGTTGACCAGATTCGAATTTGGGTGCCACCTGATATTTCGGCTGCGGATTTGAGTAGTCTGAAACTCGCACCCGAAATCCATAACTACACTCACTTAGACATGAAATTACGTAATTGCCCCTAAATTTATATAATTGTAACAAATTAGGTTTTGAGTTCACTCACTCCTCTCCCTCACGCCTCCATCCATCAGTCAGTGAGTCACTTTCCATTTCCATCTTTCAATTTCTGCATATCTCTCACCCATTTTATCTCCAACCAACACGCTTCAAAAATAATACCTTCGCTTCCATTTCTCTTCTCCCATCGCGAGTATGTAAGCTACTAGCGTTGTTTGACAGTTGCGAGTTGCGACGACCAAGCTTCGGTTAGTGTGAAGTTTCATGAACTTCGTCTCAAACTGAAAAAAAACCCACAAAATCCATTTCAGGTTCGTTTCATTTCTCATTTTTGCATCTCAAATTTTCAAACTTTACTATCCAATTTCTCAGTATATGTCCTAATTTCGTTTTCTGAACCCTTGATCTGATCTATATACGCAACTACTTAGATTTATAGTCATCAAATTTATGTTTTTTAATGTATTTTTTCTTGTTGTTTGTTATTCCTAACTAACATTTCATTGTCTGATTCTGGATTTGTTTGCATGTTACAGGAACCGTGTTGTGTTGTTGTGTTGTTTTGTGTTGTATTATCAGTGTTGTACCTTGTAGCTTTGATACTGTGGTGTATTGTGATTGGTGGAAAATTGTCAGTATAATAGAGTATTTGTACTGTTTTGAAGTTGCAAACAATGGACAATAATATGGGTATGTAAGCTGCTATAGTACTCATTATCACACACATAGGGATAGAGAAGATGTGTATACTGTATAATTAAGAATTAAGTGGTAAGTATAGAAGTAGTTTGGGTAATCTTTTAGCACCTGTTAGTTTCCAGAATTGGAACTCAGTTGAGCTGTTATCTTTCAAGTATATGAGTTCTTTTTAGTAACTGGTTTTCATATAAAGGTAAGCCGTGTTGTTGAAAAACTTATGGGCTTGTATCGTAAGAAGTGTTAGTAATATTAGTTTAATAAATCTAGTGACTATTTTTTTTTGAGAACTGTTATGATGAATTTAGTAGGATCGTGTTTTCATGGGTTGTGCACCACATGTGTAAATTGATCAAAACTTCATGTGTGGTATACTTGTACTTCAATGTGACGTTGGATGATTAACTGTGAAGGACATGAAATAGGAGATTGACTTTATTCATAAATATTTCATTATACAATTTATTTATTTGAACAAATAATCAATCAAACTAATATTTAAAAGTTATGTGTTATTGAATGTGTTTAGTATTGTTGTTTGTAATAGGTCAAATGGATCAAGTGAACTCAACCTCGGAATCGGAAGGAACATCTAATTCTATACAAGAAAGTATATGTCCGCCAACTCAGTAGGTATCTTATAATCCGAGTCCGACACCTGATGTTGGGCAACAAGAACAAGAAGAAATTGATATAAGCTTAGAACCTGCATCAAAGAAACTAAGAAGTTGATCGCGACTTTTATGAGTCTGTCGGGTGTAGTGATTGCAAGTGTGCAGTCTAATCGCGTAGTTTTAAAAGATATCGAACCCACAAAGATTGATGGTCAAACTACTGTTATCTTAGGGTCACTATGTAAAGCTAAGGCTAATTATAAAATTAGGGTGTTCGGGTTTAAACGAGAATTAACTAAAATCTAATAATTAATAACAGGACAACGGTATGTAATTTGTCAACTTCAGGAATTCAATAAGTTATTGATATTTGTTTTGAGTATTAAAATACTATTTCAGTGGAAACTATTTATTTAAAAACCTTCGTCTCATACTCTCGTTCTATCGATTCGGGCCATATTATTAAACTCAAATGAACGCTCTCGTTGTTTCATTTAAAATTCAAAAGTATTTTATGCAAACAAATAGAGTCCAATTAATTTTAAAGCGCTCTCGTTGTTTTTAAAATTAATGTTCAATAACCACTATCTGATTAAAACCTCAAACTCTCGCTTTGTTAATTTTAACCTTAGACTGTCTTTTACTCTCGTACAAAAACAACTAAATATCCAAATTGGAAATCAAAACCAGAAAAGTGCTTTTGTATAATATTAATGCCACTTAATTACCGAATCCATTCGGTTTAGGACTTCACATACCGGTATCGGGGAATTTAGCTAGACAGAATTTTATTGTTCGATAACATAAAATTAAAACATAAATTCAATAACACATGCATGGTAAAAATAAATAAATTATACTTAAAATTGGAACCTGAAATAAAACTGAAGCAAATAATTGAGCAGTGCGTATACTCCACAAGCCGACAAGATTAACTTGGAATGAAATATCTTGAATTAATAAAAATGAACCTAAACCAATTCTGGAAGTTAGGAAGAAAATTAAAGTTGCAGTATTTCTCCTGTAATACGGTGAGAGAACTGACTTGAGTGTTTTGCATTTTATCACAATTGTTGGGGATAGCAAGAGTCGCCACCGAATTTTCTTTTATCTAATAAAGGAAAGGGTGAAAAGAACAAGAAAGACCTTTTGAGCATTTTCTTGAGTTCGGGGGTAGGTTATGAAAAAGGAAGGTGTTAGTACTCTTTTCATCCATAGTTATCTACGGGCTCTTAGTTGCTAGCTCACTTTGAAATACTTCGTGAAATGTGTTTATGTTTGGTGTAAGTTTGAAAATATTTTGAAAACGCCTTTGTTTCGGCAAACTTTGTAATGATTCTCGTTTCGGCGAGAATGTATACAAAGTGTTGGTTTTTGAAAATATTTCATGAAAGTGTTGGTGTGTTTGAAAGATGTTTGTTTTGAAATGTTTGCGAGCAAGAAACTACAAACGTTCTACCTACTTAAAAAGTCTTTGTTCCTTTCCTCCTCCTTTAGATAGTATTGTCTTACCATTAGTTAGTAAGCAACCTTATCATTAGATGTAAAGGGACATGCATGGGTCGTCGTACATTCATAGAAGGCAACATTCTAGGATACCTTAGCAATTTGTCGTAAGGGTCTAAGATCGTTTATCGAAGGCAACATCGAAGGGTCATCGAGGGACTACGATCTTGTAATCGAGGGTCTTTGCTAAAGTATCTCACGTTCGAGGGACATGACTGTTTTATTTTAAGGCAACAAGTGTGGGTTAATCCTAGATGTGCAAGTGTGCAAAGTGTTTTGATTTCATGCATTTTTCTCTTGAATTAGGGTTGTCTAGTTGTTGATTTTATGTCTTGCCATACAAATCCTAATTACTAGCAATAATATTGAAAGCGATAAATTACGAAAATTTAAAGTTCTACGCTATTACATCTTTTTGGGGATGGGGATACAAATCACAAATGGGGGATGGAAGCAATTAAAATCCAATTACTATTACAACCATATTGAATAATGAATAATGATAAAAATATACAAGAATATAAATATAAAAGAAAAGAAAATTATGTTTGTTTGAGTTTTTTAATGAAAAGTTTTAATCCTAATTAAACTAATAAAAAAGAAAGAAAAATAAATAATTAGTCTAAGTTGATTTAATAAAACTAAATCTAAATTAATTTTAAAAAAAAGAAATTAAATTAATTAAGAAAACAATTTTTAGGGTTTTTATGAAAAAGTTTTAAAGTTAACCTATTTAAACTTAATAAAAAAAATTAATTAAAATCCTTAAATTCTAAGATAATTAAATTAGCAAAGAGAATTAAAATAAAACTAAGTCTAGATTAAATTAATTAAGAAAAGAAATTTGTTAAGGAAATGTTTTTGGTCTTTTGTTTAAAAGAAATGAAATAAAAATAAAAATATATTTAGTCTAAGTATTTAAAAAATATATTTTGTATTTTTTAATTAGAAATAATAAAAAATGATAATAATAAAAGAAAAGAAAATAAAAATATTTATTGAAAATCAGGGGGTTTAGAAAAGGAATGTTGGAGGTTAGAGAGAGTAAAATTAGTTTTTTTTGTTTAGGCCCAAGGCCCTTTTTTGGTTATCAGAAATTAAAACAAAAAAAAGAATAAAAAATGATTGGGCTGCGTATTGTTTAGCAATCAGGGGGTAAGGGTGAGAAGAAATGCATGGCCCAATGAAGGGAGGTCCAGGCGCGCTTACGTGCAAAAAGAAACAAGAAAATGTTGTAAAAAATGTCAAAAGGTCTCGCTAGGGCTCAGACCCAGGACCTTCCATAATAATGCCTTACACGCGTGCTTGCCGGCACTGGGGTGGCCTGGAAATTCGGTATAGAAATATGTTGCAATAAATTTAAGATAAACTAAGTTCATGTTAGCAACTTCATCTTCTTCCTCGCGCCAGCCAGAACTTCTACAACTTATTCATTTCTTATCCATTCTCAAAAGTATGATCATCAAACTTGTCAGAAATTTCACCAAGATTCCAAATGTATAAATAAATTAAGCAATGGATCAAAGATGAGCACGAATTTTACTTGGTACCAAATCTGACCTAATTTTTTTAGCAAGTTCAAGCTTAAAATTCACACTACTCAAACAACATAAATGAATTCTAAGAAAATGGTTAGTTTCAGGACTATGATATCTACATTCTGTCTTTGAAAATGGAAGCCAAATGATGCATGTATGAAGAGTTAGAAAATCAGAAAACTCACCTTGCAAATGGATATCGTGTTTTGAGTTTGAGAAACTTTCAAGGTGTTGTAATGATCTGGTTAGCTTCCTTGAACCTCTAGGAAGCTAATGCAATGCTTAGCTTTAGCTGAGAGTGCCTGAAATATTCTAGAGAAGTCAAGTTCCAGACCTCTATTTTTGAGTTTGGAAAGTGATGAAGATGGAGTTACAGTTGTGGAACAAGGATATAGATGAACTATATTTGATGTATGGAGGCTTTGAAAATGATTTTGAGGGAAAACACACGTTGGAAAAGGGATATACAAGTTTAAGGGCATATTTGTATACAAATGGAGTTTTTGTGTGCAATTTCTGGCTAGAGGGAGTTTGGGAGAGTTTCAGGGTTTATTCCTCCGTCTGCTAGGTTGCATAATAGTGTCTCAATATATAGGAAAAGAGTTTTGAGAGCCCGAGGTGATCAGAAGTACAAGTTCACATGTTATGGCTCTTTGGCTTATTTTTGAAGCAAACTTGATACACATTGTCCCAATGCATAGTACAAGGCTATCTATAGTGGTTACAAGATTTAAACATGTTTATCTGACTTCGTATGTTGAGTGTGTGCTGAACAAACAAGTTAGAAGCTCAAGAGTAGTTGACTTTGTGATTAAAGCAACTTTTCAAGAATGGAATGGTAACTTTGTGCCATAAATGGAAATGCAACTTGGATAATGGCTCAAATGCTTGGATAATGG